GTCAGGTGAGGGGAATAAGTTCGATGGAAAGAGAGAAAGAGGGAGAGAGAGAGAGAGAGAGGGTGGAAAAGAGAGAGAGAGAGAGAAGGGGGGAGGAAAGAGAGAGGGAGGGAGAAGAGAGAGGGGAGAGGGAGGGAGAAAGAGAGAGGGGAGAGGGAGGGAGAAAGAGAGAGGGGAGAGGGAGGGAGAAGAGAGAGGGAGAGGGAAGAACGAGAGAAAGAGAGAGGGTGGAAATAGAGGAGAGGGGAGAGGAAGGGGAAGGAGAGAGAGAAGAAAGGGGAGAGGAAGGAGAGGGAAGGGGAAGGAGAGAGAGAGAGAGAGAGAGAGAAGGGAGAGGAAGAAAAGAGAGAAGGATAGACAGCGAGGAGAGGAGAGACAGAGGGGGAAGGAAAGAGAGATAAGAGGAAGGAGAGAGAAAGAGGAGAGATAAGAGGAAGGGGAGAGAAAGAGGAGAGGAGAGACAGAGGGGAAAGAAAGAGAGATAAGAGGAAGGAGAGAGAAGAGGAGAGGAGAGAGGAGAAGGAGAAGAGAGGAGAGGAGGAAGGAGGAAGAGGAGAGGAAGGAGAGCGAGAGAGAGAAGAGGAGGAGAAGGAGGAGAGGAGGAAGGAGAGAGAAAGAGGAGAGGAGGAAGGAGAGAGAAAGAGAGGAGGAAGGAGAGAGAGGGAGGAGGAAGAAGAGAGAAAGAGGAGAGGAGGAAGGAGAGAGAAAGAGGAGAGGAGGAAGGAGAGAGAAAGAGGAGAGGAGGAAGGAGAGAGAAAGAGGAGAGGAGAGGAGAGGAGGAAGGAGAGAGAAAGAGGAAGAGAGAGAGACAGAGGAGAGGGGTGAGGAAAGAGAGAGAGAGCGAGGAGAGGGGTGAGGAAAGAGAGAGAGAGCGAGGAGAGGGGAGAGGAAAGAGAGAGAGAGAGAGAAAGAGAGAGAGAGAGAGAGAGGAAGAAGGAGAGAGGAGAGTGGAGAGGAAGGAGAGAGAGAGAGACCGACAAAGACTAAGACCGAGACAGACAAAGGGAGAGGCCAAGGTGAAGGCAGGCGAGGCAGGTGCAGTGAGACGAAGAGAGAGAGAGAGGGCAGGAGGCGAGCAGAGGCGGGCAGAGGCGGGCAGCCGAGCGGGGATCCTCATGAACAGAGGGCGGCGTGAGGGGCGCGAGAAAGGGAGAGCTGGCGAAAGGTTTGGCGCAGGATTTTTGCCGCGCGCGAGAGGGGGAAGCGGCCAAGGGAAATGATGGAAGTAAGTCCTTAAGGAGAAGACATACATATTGAAGGCGGTTCTTATCCGAAATCCCGAGGCACCGCGGGGCAAAAAGGCGGGCGAAGGAAGGGGGCGGGAAGCGAGGGAGAGAGTGATTACGCGGAACATGATGAGGAAAAAGGGAGGTAAAGAATTGTGATATATGGAAGGGGAGAAGTCGAGAATTAATGGCGTCCGGACGAGGGTCGAGGCGCAAGACAAGGGCCAGGAGCAGGGCTGAGTTAGGGTTCGGAAGGGATCGTATACTCAGCCAATTTCAAGGTAGATTGGGGTGTAAACTTCCATGATGGCTTCCTGTAGGAGAGATTTTATATGGCCTTTGCCTCGAGTAATGCAGTAATGGAAGATGGTGACTGGTTTTATTTTGAGCTGGAATGTAAAAGCCAGGAGGGCATCAGGTGTGATACAACGCCGCCGTGATTTATGGAAATTTGGACATTTCATTACCTTTGTAGACGGGTTGTAGCTTGGCTGTGGCTAAAGGCCCTATCACACTGGCACTTTTTTCCGTCATTTTTTTGCGTTTCCGAATGAACTCCGTAGGAAAATCATGTAAACAAACATGGCGCTGTCGGAGTGAGGTCCCGGGAATCACTCGAACATTCTCATACATATTCCGTTATTTTAAAGAAATATGATGATGTATATTGTATATACGAATGTTCTAAAATATTAGCTTATGTTTACATTCACTCATCCTATCTAATTTATTAAGAGCACAAGATCAACACGGGAATTAGTCAGACGGAAACGGTCGTAACCGTCTTGGTCTGGGAGGCGTTCCGTTTGTAGACGATCCTTGCGGAAAGCCTCAAATTCAGACGGAACCCCAGAAATTGAGGGAAAAAGTGCTCATGTGATAGGACATTTAAATCTCGACGGTTCGGATGCATAATTTTTTTTTTTTTTCTTCTCCTTCGGATGTCCCCACAGAGCCGGTGCCGGGAGGGTACTACCCGACGGCCATCGGGGAGCGGCCCCCCCACCTCCCCCAGCCCTTCCTGGTGGTGGAGCCCAACATCCTGACGACGAGGGCGTCCTTCCGCGCCGCCTCCTTCCCCCTGCACGAGAAGGAGCCCTACTACGAGGACCTCACCTACGAGACCTTCCTCACCTACATGTACGAGCGGGACCTGAGCGAGAGGAAGTACTGGCACAGCCTGATCGCCACGAGCACGCTGGAGGACATCCGGGCCAAGGCAGTGCGGGTCAGTGGTCGCTTATCATGATGGTAGATTGGTCTCTTGTTTTAATGGTAGATTGGTCTTATTTTAAGATTGGTTTTAATGGTAGATTGGTCTCTTGTCTCTCTTAGAATGGTCTCTTGTTTTAATGGTAGATTGGTCTGTTTTAATGGTAGATTGGTCTCTTGTTTTAATGGTAGATTGGTCTCTTGTTTTAATGGTAGATTGGTCTCTGTTCGCTTATTTGATGGTAGATTGGTCTCTTATTATAATGGTAGATTGGTCTCATTATAATGGTAGATTGGTCTCTTTATTATAATGGTAGATTGGTCTCTTGTTTTAATGGTAGATTGGTCTCTTGTTTTAATGGTAGATTGGTCTCTTGTTTTAATGGTAGATTGGTCTCTTATTATGATGGTAGATTGGTCTCTTTTTTTAATGGTAGATTGGTCTCTTATCATGATGGTAGATTGGTCTCTTGTTTTTAATGGTAAGATTGGTCTCTTATTTAATGGTAGATTGGTCTCTTATTATGATGGTAGATTGGTCTCTTATTAATGGTAGATTGGTCTCCTATTATGATGGTAGATTGTCTCCTATTATGATGGTAGATTGGTCTCCTATTATGATGGTAGATTGGTCTCTTGTTTTAATGGTAGATTGGTCTCTTATTTTAATGGGTAGATTGGTCTCTTATTTTAATGGTAGATTGGTCTCTTGTTTTAATGGGTAGATCTCTTATTTTAATGGTAGATTGGTCTCTTAAATGGTAGATTGGTCTTATTATAATGGTTAGAGATTGGTCTCTTGTTTTAATGGTAGATTGGTCTATTATGATGGTAGATTGGTCTCTTATTATAATGGTAGATTGGTCTCTTATTATGATGGTAGATTGGTCTCTTATTATAATGGTAGATTGGTCTCTTGTTTTAATGGTAGATTGGTCTCTTATTTTAATGGTAGATTGGTCTCTTATTTTAATGGTAGATTGGTTCTCTATTATGATGGTAGATTGGTCTCTTATTATAATGGTAGATTGGTCTCTTATAATGGTAGATAATAATGGTAGATTGGTCTCTTGATTAAATGGTAGATTGGTCTCTTATTATAATGGTAGATTGGTCTCTTATTATAATGGTAGATTGGTCTCTTATTATAAGGGTAGATTGGTCTCTTATTTTAGTGGTAGATGGGTTGGTATGATTTTTTTCGTTAGTGCTTTTTTGTTTTATTTTGACGTGAGGCTTTGAACTTCTTTTCCATAAATGTCCCTTTGATTCTCTCTCTGTCTCACTCTCGCTCTTGCTCTCTCTCTGCATCTCTCTCTCTCTCTCTGCATCTCTCTCTCTCTCTTGCATCTCTCTCTCTCTCTCTCTCTCTCTCTCTCTCTCTCTCCTCTCTCTCTCTCTCTCTCTCTCTCTCTCTCTCTCTCTCTCTCTCTCCTCCCTCCTCTCTCCTCTCTCTCTCTCTCTCTCTCTCTCTCTCTCTCTCTCTCTCTCTCTCTCTCTCTCTCTCTCTCTCTCTCTCTCTCTCTCTCTCTCTCTCCTCTCCTCTCCTCTCCCTCTCCTCTCCCTCTCCCCTCCCTCTCCTCCCTCTCCCTCCCTCCCTCCCTCCCTCTCTTCCTTCTCTCCTCTATCCTCCCTCTCCCTTCTCCATCCCTCCTTCCCATCTCTCTCCTCTCCCCATCCCCTGCCCCCCATCTCACCAAATCAATTTTTATATTTCCTCCCCCCCCCCCCTCTCTTTCACACACACACACACCCCCCCTTTCTCACTAACAATTTTAACAAAAACCCCCCCCTTTTCCCTCCCACCCCTGCTCTGCCCCTCTCCTCTCACCCCCCTCCCCACCTCCCCCTTCCCCACCACAATTTTAACCCTCTCTCCCTCACCCCCCCCCCTCATCTGGCCTCTCCCTCACCCCCCCCTCCCCACCTCCTTCCCCCGTCCCCTTCCCCTTCTCACCAACAATTCTAACCATACCTTCCTTCTCTCCCTCACCCACCCTCCTCTGCCCCTCTCCCTCTCACCCTCCCCTCCCACCCACCAATCCCCCCCCCCCCCTTTCTCACCAAACAAATTCTAACCATACTCTCCCCTCTCTCTCTCTCTCTCCCCCCCCCCCCCACCAACCAACAGGTCTCCGTCACGAAGAACAACAACACGGCGGAGATGTTTGGGGCACTGGTTCGTTTCTACTCCGGCGTGGGGGCGGTCGTCAGCGTGATCGTCTCCTACAACAACTCCGGGGGGGCCCTCTACTCCGCCGCCGTGTCCTATGGCTGTGACTTCATCGACGCCGAGGAGTACCGGTGTACCAAGCTGGGTGAGTGGGAGTTGGGGGGGAGGGGGGGTTTTTGGGAGTGAAGGTGGGAGTTGGGGAATTGTGTGGTGGGAATAGTAGTGAGTGGAGTGGGAGTGGGAGTTGGGGAGTGGGAGTGGGAGTGGGAGTGGGTTGGGGAGTGGGGGAGTGGGCGGTTAGTGTAGGAGTGAAAGTGAGAGTTGGGGAGTGGAGGGGGAGTTGGGGAATGGTGGTGGGAATAGTAGTGAGAATTGAGGAGTGTAAGTGGGAGTTGGGGAGCGGAGTGAGAGTTGGGGAGTGGAGTGGGAGTTGGGGAGTGGAGTGAGAGTTGGGGAGTGGAGTGGGAGTGGGAGTTGGGAGTAGGAGTGAGAATTGAGGAGTGGAAGTGAGAGTTGGGGAGTGGAGTGGGAGTTGGGGAGTGGAGTTGGGGAGTGGAGTGGGAGTTGGGGAGTGGAGTGAGAGTTGGGGGAGTGGGGAGTGGGAGTTGGGGAGTGGAGTGAGAGTTGGGGAGTGGAGTGGGGAGTTGGGGAGTGAGTTGGGAGTTGGGGAAGGGAATGAGGTTGGGGAGTGGAGTGGAGTGGGAGTTGGGGAGTGGAGTGGGAGTTTGGGGTGAGTTGGAGTGGAAGGTGGGAGTAGGTGGTGATTGGTGGAGTGGAGGGAGAGTTTGGAGGAGTGGGAAGGTTGTTGGGAGTGGAGTGAGGAGTTGGGGAGCGGGAGAGTGGAGGGGAGGGTTGGGGAGTGGGGTGGGAGTGGAGTGGGAGTTGGGGAGTGGAGAATTTAGTTGGTAAGTGGAGGGGAGTTCGGAGAGGAATGAGGTTGGGGAGTGGAGTGGGAGTTGTGGAGAGGAGTGGGAGTTGGGGAGTGGAGTGGGAGTTGGGGAGAGGAGTGGGTGGGAGGGTGGAGTTGGGAGTGGAATGAGGGTTGGGGAGTGGAGTGGGGAGTTGGGAGAGGAATGAGGGTTGGGGGAGTGGAGTGGGAGTTGTGGAGAGGAGTGGGAGTTGGGGAGTGGAGTGGAGTTGGGGAGAGGAGTGAGGGTTGGGAAGTGGAGTGGGAGTTTGGGGGTGGAATGAGGGTTGGGAGTGGTGGAGTGGGAGTGTGGGAGTTGGGGAGGGAGAGTGGGAAGTGGAGTGGGAGTTGGGGAGTGGAGTGGGATTTGGGGAGTGGAGTAAAGAGGTTGGGGAGTGGAGTAAGAGTTGGGGAGTGGAGTGGAGAGTTGGGGAGTGGAGTGAGAGTTGGGGAGGGAGTGGGAGTTGGGAGAGTTGGGAGTTGGGAGTGGAGTGGAGTTGGAGTGGGAGTTGGGAGTGGAGTGGGAGTTTGGGTGGTGGAGTGTGGGGAGGAGTGGGAGTTGGGGGTGGAGTGGGGGGAGTGAGAGTGGGAGTTGGGGAGTGGAGGGGGTTGGGGACGTGGAGTGGGAGTTTGGGGAGTGGAGGGGAGTTGGGGAGTGGAGTGGGAGTTGGGGAGTGGAGTGGGAGTTGGGGAGTGGAGTGGGAGAGTTTGGGGAGTGGAGTAAGAGTTGGGGAGTGGAGTGAGAGTTGGAGGAATGAGAGTAAGAGGTGGGAGTGGGGAATGGGAAGTTGGGGAAGAGTGGGAGGTGGGAGGGGAGTTGGGAGTGGGAGTGGAGTGGGGGGAGTGGAATGAGGGTTGGGGAGTGGAGTGGGAGTTGGGGAGTGGAGTGGGTTGGGGGAGGTGGAGGGAGAGTTTGGGGAGTGGAGTGGGAGTGGGGAGTGGAGTGGGAGTTGGGGAGTGGAGTAAGAGTTGGGGAGGAGTAAAGTTGGGGAGTGGATGTGAGAGTGGGGGAGTGGAGTGAGAGTGGGGTGGAGTGGGAGTTGGGGAGTGGAGTGGGAGTTGGGGAGTGGAGTGGGAGTTGGGGAGTGGAGTGGGAGTTGGGAGTTGGGTGGGAGTTGGGGAGTGGAGTGGGGAGTTGGGGAGTGGAGTAAGAGTTGGGAGTGGAGTAAGAGTTGGGGGAGTGGAGTAGGAGTTGGGGAGTGGAGGAGTGGGGAGTGGAGAGTTGGGGGAGTGAAGTGGGAGTTAGTTGGAGTAAGAGTTGGGGAGTGAGCAAGAGTTGGGGAGTGGAGTGAGAGTTTGGGGTGGAGTGCAGAGTTGGGGAGTGGAGTGGGAGTTGGGGAGTGGAGTGGAGTTGGGGAGTGGAGTGAGAGTTGGGAGTGGAGTGGGAGTTGGGGGAGTGGAGTGCGGGGAGTTGGGGAGTGGGAGTGGGAGGTTGGGGAGTGGAAGTGAGGAGTTGGGGAGTGGAGTGGGAGTTTTTTCATTTGGGGGGGGGTTGTAAGTCGGGATTGTCGGGGTGGTGGGGGGTTGGGAGGCTTGGTTGTTGGTTGGCCATGAGTGGTTGTTATTGGTTATTTTTTATTGTTTATGATTATTATTATTGTTTATTATTACTTTTTTGTTGTTATCATTAACATGATTACTTTATTAGTTATTATTATTTTTTATTATTATTATTGAAATTATGTTACCATCATTATCATCAATCATATTACTATTATTTTATTTTTATTATTATTATTATTATTATTATTATTATTATGTATTGTCATAATTATCATTATCATTAATATCATTATTATTGTTATTGTTATTAATAGTAGTAGTGTTGTTTTTTATTATTATTATTTCATTTTCATCATTTTATTTTATATTGATATCATTTATTTATTTGTCATTATGTCTTATTGTTGTAATTATTATTGTTGTTTTGCTATGACTTACCCATTATGATGATAATTTTTGCTTGTTGTTTTATTATTATTTTTTGTTTATTGTTGTTATTGTTAATATTAATGATATTATTATTATGATTATCATTATTTTCAATTTATGGTGATGATGATAATTATAATAATAATAATTATTATTATTATTATTATTATTATTATTGATCAGTAATGATAGTATTATTATTGTTATTACTATTTTGTCATTATGATTAATTTTATTCTTTTCATTATCATCATCACACCAGCATTATTTATTTGTATTATTATCACGATCATCATTAGCATTATGAATTATATGTTTATTATTGTTATTTGTATAATATGTTGAATTTTTTTTGTTTTTTGATTCATGATCATATCCATCATCATCATATCACATCACTTCATCATTTTATTATCAATTATATTCATCACTATATTTGTTGTAGTTATGTTATAATGCGTATAATATATATAATATAGTGAGATAGAAAGATAGATAGATATAATGGGAGAGCTTCAGAAGTAACTCATATCGCGATAACCCAATGCATCAAGGGTTCTCGCCTCTTCCGATCCTGCCAACTTTGCGCTTCTTGGCTTTCATGGCGGCTCCTCCTGGTCGTGGGGCATCGTGGCTTACCCCTCCATGTTTACGTC